AACCGGACTTCAAAAGGTGGATACGATTAGAGGGAAGACATTTGGATTCCAAAAGTTAGTAACCACAAGAAGTGATCGTTACCAAACCGGGAATTGATTTCCTCATACATCGTCGGTTTTGAAGGCGTTCAAGAACAAAGGTAATTTTTATAAATTACATATCAAATCAAAATTAGTAAAAGTTACTAGATTATAAATGATGCTTATTCGTTATATCGCTATACTTATGTACGGAATAAGTATTTATAAGATAAATACTTATAAAATTTTAAATTCCGCTGTAAACTCTGTTCCGTACGGTATATCGAACACAACACGGCCTACGATCCAAATCTCGAAGGAGTCCCCTACGACATAAATGTTATCCAAGGGTACGCCCCCTGGGTCCAAAACGATCCCTACTCGAACACCTACAATCCCGGGTGGCGAAACCACCCTAACTTTTCATGGAGGGACCCGAAAGCTACCTATTCACCCCGACCGACACCGCAACAAGCCTACTCCCAACCTCAACAATATGCACCACCGAACAACCGACTACCATTCCAACCGAGGCCCGAGTTCCAAGGCTACCAACCGAGGCCCGAGTTCCAAGGACATCCACAAGGGCGGGGATGTTTCATCCCTAGGCAACCTGTCATCTCCACCGGAGCTCAAGAAAAATGCTAATGGAGAGTCCTCGGATACCCGGATTGAAAGCTTAGAGAAGTGTCTTCAATCGTTGGCCTCAACCGTCTCCTCGTTGCACGAGACCGTCAACGAAGTGCCCTCGATTCAAGCCTTTGTCAAATGCCTCGAGACTCAAATGGGACAACTCAGAATTTCTATCGGGGAGATTCAGAGGGGCAAGATGAAAGACAAGCTCCAATGCTATTACAGTTTTGAAGAGTGGTAAGAAGGTTGATAATCGTGTGGAGATGCCCGAGAAGATGAGGTTGTTAAAGTTGTTGTTGATGAGGATGATGATGAGCTGGGGGAGAAGGTTAATGTTTCTAATGGGAAAGCCGTTGTTGATGAGGGAATTGAGAAGGAGAGTTTGAAGAAGGAGACTCGTGAGGTTTTGTATAAATCGGATGCACCTTATCGACCACCGATCCCTTTCCCGAGCCGTTTGCAAGATACCAAGAAGGAGCGTCAATTCAAGGATCTTTTCGACATGCTCTCGAAGGTGAACGTGAACCTCCCACTAGTAGACGTTATAAAAAACGTGCCGGTGTATGTTCAATTCTTTAAAGACCTAGCATCGAAGAAGAGGAGGTTCGGGGATAATGAGAAGGTGATGATTTCTGAGATAGCCTCGACTACTAAACCTCGGAAAGAATGCGATCCGGGAGCCTTTGTCATGAAGATCACGTTCGGGAATGGGAAGGCTACAACCGGGATGCTCAACTTGGGTGCCGGTATAAACCTCGTGCCATATTCTATCTACAAACAATTTGGGTTACAAGGGCTCAAACTGACTCGAATGAGCCTCCAATTGGCGGACCGCACCTTGCGAGAGTCGAAAGGTATAATTGAAGATGTGTTGGTCAAGGTTGGTTCGATTGTTGTGCCAGTTGATTTTGTCGTCGTTGATGTTGGAGATGTCCCGAATATCGGGAAGGAGCACACTATCTTGCTTGGGCGACCTTTCATGGCTACGACCAACACCATTATCGATGTCAAGGATGGACGAGTCACTCTCTTGGCTAATGGAGAAACGGCTACTTTCACGATGAACAATGCCCGGGAAGCTCCACCCAAAGTTGGCCAATGCTCGTTTATGGAGGACATCGACAAGGAGGTACATCTCAACTCTAACTCTAAATTTTCTAATTGCAATGGTGTTGAGGTAAAAAGGATGTGTGGGAGTCGGGAAAGAGTGTGAATGATGACTTGGGAGTGAAAGTTGAGGATTTGAGTAAGAAAAATAATGTTGGGGGCGGAAGTAGTTTGAAACCGGGCAAGAAAGAGGCGAAAAAGAAGCATAAAAATAGAGAGGGGAAACCGGGAGAAAGTCCACCGAGTTTGAAAGATGATGCGAGTACCGGGGTTTGGAAGTTTACGAAAACCGAGATGAAATTTGAGAGTGAGGATGGTTGGAAGAAGAAACCCCCGGTGTCTCCGAGAAGTAAGTGGGCAAGTGTGTTCTTTGACGAGCTCGAGAATGAGGTTGGAGGAGCTCGTCGAGCCGTGCCCGGTTGACTCTTGAATTGACGGTAACGTCGAGCTCACGACTTTAAACCGAGCATTCCCTTGTTCTTTTCTTTTTCCTTTTCTCTTTTGTTCCTTTCCTTTCTCTTCATTTTATAAAAAAAAAATCGAGAGCTCGTGCTGACCTGCTCGGCAGTCCCGACTAGTTAGAGCCGAGCCGAAAATAAAATTGAGCGAAATCGAGTATTTATAGTGTTTTTGAGTCGAGTTGTAAATTTGGGCAAAAATATTCAAAATACACCTAAGTATGGAAGGACAACCGGCCAGCCCTCGCGCGCCCTCCAGCATTTTCATGCGTGCACTCCAGCCGCTCGCGCACTCGCACAGCCTCGCGCGCTGCCCACCGCCCACAGCAGCCAGCCCGCCTCCCAGCCCAGACCTGGCCTCAACCCCCGCCGCCACTTTTTTCGGCCAACTTTATCCGATCGTGACGAATTTTATATCAAAGCGAAGCTCTCGTCGACGTCGACGACATATCCGAGACCCAAAGAAAAATTCAGGCGAGAAGGCTTCCGATTTTCCGGCGAAAGCTCGTAGATCTACAAATTTCTTCAACCTTCAAATTCAAATTGCCGGTGACTCACTTGGACCCACCAAAATCCAAAGGCACCCCCGGACTCGTCTCACCGGGCCGCACATTTTTCCGGCCACCATCGCCGGATTTGGCGAAATTTTCTGGCGACCACTTTTTCCGGCGATCAAGCACCCACCGAGTTTCCGGTTAATATTTTTGAGCTTTTCTTGTCATATACCATCGATTCCTTTCGTTTGGTACCTTTTTCCGGCAACTGGATCTCCCACTTTTCTATATTTCTCTATTTACGAACTTCGGCGACCGTTTTTCTCAAAATTTTCCAAGGTCCAACGAATCGAATTCGCTATGTATTTCCATACTTTCATTATATTCGTTGTGCTTGGATTACGACTCTTGTCGGAGTAGTTGTATTGAGATATTTGGGTTAGACTTGTGTGTTTTAGGCATGTCTTGCCGGGTGTGCCACATGTTTGTGTTTTTGTCGGGATTTTGAGTTTGTAGGTACCTACTTACGGCAAGCGCCGGTAATCGATGGCGCGTTGCTTACAAACGGAGTTAATTGTGTCATGCCATGGCGCGCATCGACAAGGACCTTGAGGCCCGATTTTTGAGCATTCACGTATACATGTGTCTACGTCGAGTTTATGAATGCATGGTTACCATCTCTCCGAGACACACACGTATGGCCTCTCTCGTTTCATGTGTTCAATGCTAAAACGTTTGGATGGCTTCATTTGGAGCTCGATGGCTTTCGGTTGATCTCCTCTATTCCCTCCGGACGACCATTATTGGACACACGGTGGTGCACCACCGTGTAGAGTACACATTTTTTTTCTTATTTTCTCTTTCTTTCTTTGCTTTTTGTGTGTCTCGTTTTTGTTTTTATCGCATAAACTTACATGATTATGTGCTTTCTCCTATGATTTTTGGTCAAACAATGAGGACATTGCTTTGTTTTAAGTGTGGGGGAGGGATTTTTGTGATTATGCATGCTTAGGTGATGTTCTCTTCGTTTTTGGTGCTGTATTTTTTGTTTTTGTCGTGTCTTGGACTGGTTTTGTTTGAGTCTTTTGGGTGTTTGTGTCATCTCTCCCGCATGATGCTCAATGTTTGTTCGAGAGTCAGAATAGCTAAGTGGTAAGTCGAGAGTGTTGATTGGCTTCATTGATAGCTTTCATGCATTATGAACTTGATGAATTGGAGGTATCATAGAATTGATCGATTATTTGTTAACCTGGGACCCTTATGTGAATTCACGAAAGTGTTTTGTCCCTTGTTATTCCCGATTGGTGAACTTGAGATGTGCTTACTTCTTGCTCGTTTATTGTTGAAAAATGTGTTGTGCTTTTCGTTTGTGGTGCATCTAGATCGAAATGTGCTTATGTGTATATTATGGATGTATCGATTTGTGCCACTCCCTAACAAAATATTATAATAAAAATATAATATAATTAAGAATAATGTGAGCTCGCGAGGAAGTACGGACTAGGCTCCTCTTATCCCGAGCCACCTCGTGGAATGGGATAACGGGCTTGGGAAACCGGTCTAGGGAACTCGAGGAAACCCCTCGAGGTTAAACCTAGATAATCATTGTCCAGAAACCTCGTTTGGAAAAAGAAACTCACATAAATGACTCGTGAGAGTTGGAAGGATTAGACTCCACTTGGTTCGGTTGGTCTTCTAGGCAAATCGAATCAATGAGTACGGGAAATCGGCTTAGGAGAATCGAGGACAAACCCCGAGGAAAAACCTAAGTAATAATCGTCCCAACGGCTCTCATTTGGAAAAAGTTAACTCATAAAAATATATATAAATATAAAACGAGAATAAGAAATGAAGTTGGCTTATGTCTCATTTCTATCCCTTATGTTGTTTAGACATCATCTAGCTTTTTGCACGTTTATGTATTGGAAGTGGGTATTAATCGAGTAAACCGTGTGTAGGATGACTTGGGATAAGTTTTTGTTTCGTATGAGTTCATTATGTGGGGAACATGTTTTCGAATTTGAGTTCGGTTCTATGATTACCGGAGGATAATGAGAGTTTCATAATCGCATGATTGTTAACCTTGGACCATTCGATATCTCTCTCCGAGCTATTTGTTATTTTTTTTGCTTGAGGACAAGCAAAAAGATAAGTGTGGGGGAGTTGTTTGTTATGTTTTGTGCTTATTTTTATGTGTTTCTATGTGTGTTAGAGTCGATTTTAGGTCCGTTTTAGTGTCGACCGGTCCATCGCATTTTGTGTGAATTTATGTTTTTCGTTTCATTTTGTATTTTGGCGTACTTTCCCGTGTTTTATGGTAAAATTTCAGGTTTATTTCGAGGATGCATGAGGAGATTCGAGACGAGTGCTCCAAAGTCAATTCCGAGCCAAGTCGAGTCATTTCAAACGAACCATTTCCAGTCGAACGTGTTGAGTCCTTAGTCGAGATGGGCACGTGCTGCACAACTCGCGCACGCATTCCACGCCCGCATGCGTATGCCTAACTCGTGCCCATCGCCCTCACTCGCGAACTCGCGGAGAAGCTGGCAAGCTCGAGAGCCCACGCCCGTGCCGCCTGCATCACTCGCGAGCACGCGGAAGTCACCGCGACATCGAGAGCACGTCGCCCAGCGCCTAGCGCACTCGCGTGCTCGTGCTCGCCCCCACGACATCGAGAGCATGTCCTTCCCGTGCCAAGTCCTGTGCGTGCCTACGCGCGCCTGTGCTTCCCATCTGCACGTACCCGCCTACTGCGCGTGCTTGCGGAAATCCATGCGAGGTCGAGAGTGCTGCCGAGTCTCGTGTGCCCGTGCACATCATCGCCGCGAGCTCGCAAGTTCTGTGGAGACGTCGAGAGTGTCTCATTAAGTGTGCGTGTTTTGGTGTGTGTTTTGGCTAGACTATATATATTTTTGTTCCTTTGTATTTTGAAGATTCACTACTCATTATTTCATTTTTCCCTTTTGGGAACTAGCTTATGTTTTATTTTTCTCTCTAAATTAAGAGATTATGCTATTTTCCGGGAGATTTTCTGGCGACTTTGGTTTCCTTCAAGTTACAAGCTTTTGACTCTATTTTTCATCGTCTACGCAATGGAAGAATGAGTATTTAGTTTTAAAGCTCTTTACTTCGGTTTTTGCTCCGTTTTTACTTATAATGTTTATTAGGGTAAATTTGGATTTGATTGATGATGGTTGCAAAGTCGAGACTTGATTGCTTGCTTGAGTAGATAGAGGAGTTAATTGCTTAGGGTTAGACGACTAGGGTTAGCAATCTAATGCTCATAGCTCGTTTATTCCTTATGTCGATTGATTATCATCCCGTTATGGTCATGGCATGAGACTCCGATGATCTAGCTTGCTACTTGCTCGTGATTTGGTCTTGCTCTTAGTTAATTGCTCGTTTTCTAGTGCTCGTATAGTGATAATCAACCCTCCAATCAATTTCTTAGAATGTTTAGGACCTTATTTGATCTTTTTGTGATTTGGACAATCAACTAGTAGATAAACCTCTGAATAGCCTTCCCTCGAGATCGACCCTAGTCGGGTAACTCGGTTATCCCTTACCCACCAAATCTTTATTAAACAATAAGTTGATATAGTGTTTGGACATACTACTCTAACAAGGGAAAAAACTCCCTTGGCCTTAGCATCCGCGACCATCGCGGCAAAGGTAGTCACGCCCGGCGGTGCTGGAAGTGCTAAAGCCACTGAAGGCTCACCTATAGGTTCTGAGTTCGAAGGTAAAGGTTTGAAGTAGTCATGGAGGTGGGATACTCTAGAAAATAAATTAAAAAAAAAAAAAGCGAGGGTAATAAGCAAGACAAAAGTGACCAATAATGGATGAGGTAAAGTACAAATATAATCAAGAAGTAGTAGGGCACGCACCTAGGAAACCGACTGACATGATGAACAGTTTGGAGGTAGCGATGTCGGAGGGCGTATCGGTGCTGCCGGAGAATATGCAAAGGTCACCAGAGAAGGCGGGAAATTGTTATATCTTGATGAAGGTGGACGGAGAGCCAAGAAAGTGTTGGGTGGCTAAAGTAAGTGTAGTTTACAAGAGAAGCAGAGACTCTGGGCCGCGAAACAGGCGCATGATGGAAGAGACGTGTACGGACGAGATGAAAGGAGATGGATGGGCGCTAATGTTGATCGGGGCCATTCGTTTGAGTCTAGATCAATGGTGGAGACAGAAAGTTATGGGTGAAGCCTACTGACGTGACGATTTTAAGGCCCGTGTCCTCGCCTGATTCAACGAGGCCAAAACATGCGAGCACGTGCGGTGTTAAGATTAAAAGAACATTCTTGGCTGAGCTATATGTAGCTCGCGTGAAGAATAGAGGGACTAGATGATATAGCAAGACACAACAACTTGCGTAAGATGTTTCATGTTGAGCTCGGCACCAACCTATAACTCTGAGGTTCAACCTCATAGGTGCTAGCACGGTAGGGTTGTTCCCTGAGATGGCCTGGAGGTAAGCTGAGTAGATTATTAGCGTTTCATCTGAGAATTAATCATGTGCGAGAGGGTCACCCAGGTCAGCTTGCACTAACGCTAGACGTTATGTGGATTTATGGGGCTGATGGCAAGCACCAGGTTGATATCGAGGGGTATGTAGCTCGGGCGTTAAAGGGCGTTGTCGTAAAGGTCAAGTGGTGTTGAAGTTGAATGTGAGGCCGACCTCGAAGGTATAAGTTAAACACCGAGATCATAATTCTTATGGTAACACTGACGATTCTAAAAGAGGCTTTCGTAAGGAGGGGACTAAAGGAAGGAGGTTCATGCTACTAAGGATTCCAAATATTCGAGAATTAGTTTGTTAAGAGCGAATATATGTGAGGACTTGTTATCCTACCAGAATCTTAGTTACACGCCATCTTGTATATAAAAAGGAAACAAAGGTTATTTCTTGGACACAACACACACGCGCGTAGAAAAAATACATTATGTCCTCATATTATTGTTGAGTGTGAACTAACTTTGGCATTAGAGTGTTTTCCGCCGGGACCACTCCTGGAATTATTCAAGTAATTGGAGACACTGAGGTGGTTCGTGCCAGTGATCAGTGATCCAGACCGGGCCCGGGGACAATTTATGCAACAAAGATGGTCTCTGCGAATCTTCTTATAAGCTGATCCATAAGGTATGCTCATTTAGTATGCTACCTTCCTTATTCAACTCCAATTATTCAATTTGCTATGATCTCCTATCTTCGCATATGGTAGGTTACTTCTTGCCCTGTCCGCAAGTTTCAACTTCTTTTGGAAGGTTAGTTAGCGCGTAGCTTCCTCTCAAATAGGTAAGTGTCGTCATTCTTCAATATGGTAGGTAGTTTCCAATAAAATAATGTACCGAACTTATTCCTTAATTAAAAAAATTATAGACTAAAAGAATAAACTAAATTTGATTTTCTCTTGGGTTCGGAGAATATTACAATTGCCGATTATTCTTGATTCCAAGATATGACACGAGATTTTCGATTTAATACCAAACAGTTAATACCATCCAATCTACCTTCTTCTATGAATTACAACTTTTATCATCCAAGTCAGGTTTCTCAAGTTCTCCATTAGTGAAATCGACTTTATTTTTTACACCCAAAGCGATAATGATGTAGGGGAAGCGTACGAATGTGAAGGATAAAACGAGTAAACGAGATACTCTCTCGTAAAACACGTAAAACTCACAATTAATTCATTTTTTCATTCAAAATCAACCATCTCATAACAAAGTAGAAGAGCCCTTTAAATAAGGCTCCTAACCCTAGAGCTTAACTTATCCAACAAGACAAGATCTCTTATTAATATTAAACAATAATATTAAATCCTAACTTATTTTCTAAGATACCTATTAGCTATAATAATAATAATAATAATAATAATAATAATAATAATAATAATAATAATAATAATAATAATACTAAATACTAATCTACACCATTCTCCTCCGGTTCGGAAGGCTTCGCCCTCGAAGCCGATGCGCTCCCGTGGCCGGCGTGTGGTGTCGAACTCATGGTAGGAAACACCCGTCGTTTCCCCCGGTAGAACAAGAAGGATGAATGCCATTCAACAAGCCCGATAAGAAACATAATGATGGGTCTATTCTCAGATCTGGGGTGAACCGGTGGAAAATCGCCCGGATCTGGAATGAACCGATGAGAACGAGCTCAGATCTGTCTTGATGGTCTCCAAATTGCTATTGAACCG